GCAAGAAGCCTTAATTCTCGCCGCGCCACCCCTCGATAATTCCGCGCCGGGAAAACCAAGCCGACGAGCCTGGAATATCGAGTCCGATGTAAAACGATCTTCCAACCCTCCGCAGAACGTTCCAGTCTGTTGGGCTGCCGCGAAGAAAAAAAAAAGAAACCCCTAACTTGGTCTCTCTCTGTCTCTCTCTCTCTCTCTCTCGTTCGAACAAGCAGTGATGTAATCGTTGAAGAAAATTTCCTTCCGCGACATACATACATACATACACACATTGGCGTGTGTACGAAATACTCTTTGCACGACGAAACTTGTAAACTTTGGAAAAAAACATTTGTTGCAAATGTTCCTTCGAATCCCTATTAGAACGAGTAGAGTCGGAAAGACTGTTTCTTAGACTGGAAACGATGGAATTTTTCAAGTTGTCAAACTCGACCGTCGAGTACCGCCGTCGAAGTAAATCCGAAGTGTTTTCAACGGTATTCGTGGTCCGCGCTTGACGCGTCAATTATTCACGAGGTACTCGTTGCTCGACCACTCGAGCGCGCCTCGAACGTGCGAAAGGGTCCACGTTCGTTATAGGAAGGGTGAAAAAGAGGGGTGGGAAGAGGTGTTCTCTTTGACACAGCATTGATATAATATTAATCTAAGCGAGCAAAACTCAAAGGACAACCGTCTGTCTCGTAACGAGTCCTTGTTCCCTGGCGTACGAATTCATGGTAATGCAGAAAGCCGCGTATCACAAAAGAGAATACGCGCGCGGCTGCGAAAACAAAACGAATACCGCACGCTTGTTCGCTCGCTCGCTCGTCTGCGATTAGACGCCGATGAAAGGATGGTGCAACGCCTGATATCGAAAATATCAGGTGATGACAGACGTGAATTATCGATGTCATTGCTTTCGAACGAAAAATGAAATATCCAGAGATGGAAAATCTACATCGAAGACGAATAATTAACTCGATTTTCACTGCCCGTGAATATTTAAAATTAACACTTTGGAGAGGTACCATTTTCAATCCATTCAATCATCTTCTCTCGTTTGAATTTGATTTTTATCGCTGCGCTTTAATCGAACGACAATGCTCTTCTTCATTAAGTTACACTCGATGGTAAGAATCGCGGTGTCGATTCGAAGGAAAAGGCAAAGCATCAATTCCTATGGAATTTTCAATTTTAACTCTTCCAACGAAAGATTCATAAATACAAATTATACGCAATGCTTTCAATGTAGGATTTAACTGACAATGAGAGAAAATTCAAGAGGTCAATCTGTCGGGTATCAACCGATTGACTCGAATGAATAATAATACAGACTAATAGAATAATAATCGACCAGATAAAGTGATCGAACTTTAGTAATATTATCTTTCAATCTGTCTGCCGTTAATCACTGACAGGTAGCACGGTGTTCGTCGAACAGCTTGGCTTCGAGTTCCGCCCGAGTCGGAGAAAACGAACGAGCGTGCAAAGTAATCTGCGCGCCACGGTTTTTCCACCCCCCTCCCTCCCCCACGGCATTTTGTCGCTGGTTTTCCCGGCTCTGCCACGTGAGTCTGCATGCGTGCACTCTCGTCTCGGCTCGAGTCGTGACGTTTGTTTTTATGCTTACTTTACCGCGTTGAAAAAACATCGGAAAGTGGCTGCCGGGACGGCAGCGTCGAAAACCACCACCACCACCCACCCCCCTCCCCACGCCCACGTTGTGAAGGGGTTGCACGAGAAACAGGGGCTGAGATTTTTCTTCGCATTGTCGCCGCGTCGAGTTATTTGCTTCTAGCGCCGCTTTGATTGTTCGTAATTGGGCACGTTAATTATGAACCGGGGAAAAGGCGAGATGATTCGTTGCTTTCCGAAACGTCGGCCAATTCTACTTTATCCGGCCGAGTTATTTCCTTTCCCGATACGTTCTCTGTAAAAAATCAACGTTGACGTCTGCGAAAATACAAATTAAATATCGTATTGTCTCTCCACTGCGTGAAATTTAAAGGCTCGCGACAGGATACTACCGAGCGATCATAAACAGATTTACGAGAAAATTGCTACGCAGAAAACTTCAATTTTTTTAATTAGAACCCTAGAAAAATGCGAATCGGCGCAAGGATCGTGGGCGAACGATTTCGCAGCGAAAGAAGATCGAGCTTGGAAAGATTTAGAAATCCCAATAACGACAGGAACGCCAGGTAGGAAATAAGGTCGTTAAGTTATCGATAAATTCCCCCGGCATCGTTTATGAGCTTTCGACGGTGTTTACTTCTGTACTAAATGCCACCGGGAACTTTTCATTAATGCCCGAACGAATAAATGCCACCGTGTTCTATCCCCTCCTTAAATTCTTAATGCAGCAAGCCCGGCGGAAAGTACTCCGGTGCCTTCAAAATATCTTCAAGAAGTTTAAAGTCTTCCCTCGATAGTATGTAAATATTGTATGTAAAGCGCGACATCAAAGGGATTCTTCCGTAGTATAATGCCTTAAATTTCGCTTCGCGAAGGAGAGATTAAGGAACAACAGGGGGGCGAGGATATTACGGACGCGTGTAACGTGGAAATGTCCATTTTTTCGAGAGAGAGAGAGAGAGAGAGAGAGAGAGAGAGAGAGAGAGAGAGAGAAGAGGAAAAGACGTCCACACTCTCTAACCATCACTGAGCTGCTCCAATTAAAATCGCAAAACGACAACAACAAATGTATTTGTGCGCACAGCCGTGTTACAATTTCATTATTACAAATTTCTAATTTTCAATCGCGTACGTTTCGAAGGAATCGTATTTCGGAGGAATCGTCCTCGAGACTGGGGCAAATCGGACAGCCAAAGAATACTTCAAGCGGAATTCCTGATGAATATTCAAGAATATTCTTGCGTCGGACGTGTAATTGTCAAAAGGACGGGGAGGGGGGAGGGGATGGTCAAACGCGCAAAGGGAAGAACAGAGTTCGACGCGCGCGGCAAAGGGACCGCAAAATCTCTGCTGGCATTCGTGCCAGGACGTTCGCGAAAACTTTGTTACATTTTTGGTCAGCTCGACGACATACGCTGCCCGAATAAGCCGGATCAAAGGGACAAGCTTGAACGTAACAAGAGGTTGAAAAAGAGGCAAACGAAAGAGAAGCAGCGTCGCATTCCTTCCGCGCTCTTCTGTAAAAATTCGCGCAGCGTCGGGAAAAACCCCTTTGGCTCGGCTCGAGTGTGTAACGTCGGAGGAAATAAAACCGGCGCGCGGCGTCGTTGTGATATTATTAGAGAGGCGAGAAACGTTCGTTGAACGTGGATTGTCGATCCACGATCGTTTGGTAACAGCTTTCGGTTAAAAAAAAAAAAATTTCGCTGTACGTTTGGAAAATATACGTACGTGTGGAACCACGATCTCGAAACTACGAAGAGACACGCGAAATTTCCACTGCACCCATCATTTGGACAAGTGACAAGCTGTCTTTACTTTTACCCGGTGTGTTTCGAACGGTGTGCACGAACTCAACACGCGTCAATTCCGCGTGAATGAGTGACTGTCGCGTCTCAAAAACTGTCGCGGATGTCCGGATAAATTTACGATGAGCGCGAACTATTTACCAGAAATAGACCGGCGGTAATTGTCCCCGCTTCGAGTCTTTCGCCTCCAGATGAATTTTTCAAGATTTTCTTCCCCTTCGAGCGGGTATAATTAATACTCCAGTCCTCGACAGGAACTAAACTCGTTCCGAAAAGCTTCGCGACGGAGGAAAATACTTCTCGCAACTTCGATTAGGCCGGATGCGAAAGTCGCAATCGTGCTCGACGAGAACAACGAACAGTTTGGCCGGTGAGAAATAAAAAGAAAACCTACAACTCCAAACGTTCAAAAAAGAAATTTCATCCGTCGTGTTGGTCGAAGCGTGTACGTTCCCTCGTTGTGGAGTGTGGGGGGAGGAAGGTGAAGGAAACGAGAGGAAACGGGCTGGAAGGTGGAGAAGAAGAGTCGAAAAACGTGAGAGAAATGGGAGAGAAACGGAGAGAAACGAGCAGCAGAAACGAGCGGGGAGGGCAAGCTGCCGTGGCGCTGAACCACAGAGGAAACAAAAGGTGCCGCCGGCGAATTAAGAACGATATTTTAACGCTCGACTTAATTGCATTAAAACCGGGGGGAGGGGGGAGGCGGGACCCGAGTAGTAGGCGAGTACACAGGAAAAGACAGAGAAAGTGAAAGGGGTGAAGAAAATGGAAGAACTGAGTGGAGGGATGGGAGAGGTTGAAAGAAGGCTGTCAAGAAAAAAATAAGAAAAGCCTGCTGGTTGGACGGGGGGTGGAGGAGGTGAAAATGAGGGGGAGGAAGGGGAAAGGGATCCAACATTCGTTGGAACGTTGTTCTAGTCCGCGATTGGGTGTGCTCTCGCCCGGTAATACGTCGGATTTTCAAAGTGCTGCTTATCGCGGCGCCGCTGTACCCTTTGAGCCGAAACAAACAGAGTGCTTGCTTTTTTCGCGAAGTGGCCGGGGCGAGAGGCAGAACGGAAGAAACGGATTATGTTTTAGATTCCAACTGGAAGACCGAGGTACAAGGGGTGAGAGAAAACGCCATGGCGCTATACGGGGGAGAGGAGGTGGGGAGGAGGGGAAGAGAACGAAACGGGAGGAGAGGAAACGGACAAACGAGGAAAAGGGGGAAAAAAGAAAAGGAAGAGAGTCGAAAGAGAGAGAAAGAGAGAGATGATTCTCGAGACCACGCGAGGTATTCGGGGTAAAAGAATTTTCTTGTAAAAGTGTGTTCTCCCGGTTTTTTGCCGAATGCGGGCGCAATACCTTCTCCCATTGTTTAAACAACGGGATCGATAAATTTTGCAGTTTGTTTCGACCCTGTATGTGATTCGACCCAGCTTTCACAAAAAAGGCCAGACTGCCTTGCAGCGTGCGGAGAGAATTAAAGATTTATCGCATAGCTGTCTGGAAATAAAATCAGGGATCAATGGCACAAGGATCTTTCGCAATAATCATCTTTCAATGTATTTACCACTCAATGTCCATTATCATATTTTAACATATTTTGATTTGTCATTGGACTTTCCATCCAATAATATAATATATCGATTCGAGTTAATATATTTCGTATACATTTCATGTACGAACGAGCCAAACTAAAATTCCTCGATTAGTTGGGACCGCTTTCCTCTCGATCGATACAGCAACGCAAGATACATGAACGGTACGTAAATGTAATTAAAAGCTACGTACTTATACGGTCGCCGAGTGAAAGTTCTTTCTGTGATTGTCCAATGAGAGCGGTCCCTTGAAGTATCTCTGGCATATCTCGCAGAAGAAACGGAACTTGTTGTCGTGGCACTTGAGATGCTTGTTCAACAGATCCTTCCTGGCGAACGTCTTCTCGCAGTAGGTGCACGAGAATTTGTCCGGATTCACGTGGAACGCGTTGTGCCTCGACAGATTGTCGATTCTCGTGTACTTCTTCGTGCAAATGTCGCAGGTGAACATGGTCCTCTCGGAATGGCATCTCTGGTGATACCTCAGGTACCGTTTCTGCGCGAACGTCTTTTTGCACGCGCAGCATACCACCTGATTCGACTCGTCCTTCTTCGCGTCCGAGTGATCGGCCAGCTCGTCGCTGTTGTTGAACTCTTGCTTGCAGTACGGGCACGCGTACCGCTTCGTCTGCTTGTGCTTCTGTATGCTTTCCAGGAACGTCGGGTCTGTCATGATTTTGTAAAGAAACGTGTCCTTTAACCTCTCGTCGGCGCCCGGGTTCATGTGCGACTCCTCTTCCTCTTTGCAATCCCGCTTGCACAAATTTAAAGCCTCTATCGGTTTGTCCGACTCGTCGGTCGACTCTTTCGGAACCTCCTCGCTCGACGAGCCAGCCGCGGGAGGATTTTCTGCATCTGTCTTTAGCAGCAGTACCTGGAATATATATTGATGTTCATTTAACACAGTGCAATAACGCGAAAAGAGATCGTGGATGTTTTTGTCATCGACGAGATTTTCTTTTTCCTTTCAGAAAATAGTCGAGATATTTCGAAAAAAATTTTTTTTACATTTTCACATCCACGATCTATAACGTGTAATAGAAGCGTGTTATACGTTGTTATTGTCGTCGTCGCTGACGGACTTTTTTGCCTTTTCTTTCGATCTGCAACTTGGTCCAGCCATCAAGTTAAAGAGGACCGAGTCCCTTTTCGAAGCCTCGATCTGCAAAAACAAATTTATACCATCTTCAGAGGCGAAGTCAAACGTTTCGAAACGCTTCGTACGTAAAGAAATTGCTCGAAAAAGATTGAAGCAAACATATAAAATTGTCGTTGGAATTTTATTTACAGAAGTAGATCTTAGATTCATAGAATTATCTGCTCCTCTTTCTAAAATGTAATCAACGTACAACGACTCGAGGGAATGACACTCTGATCCATTTGTTATGCACCGTGGCTCCCGAACAACGTGTTATCGCCGTGTTATCGTCGACGAATTTCCACACACGCGACCGTACACACACGAATGTCACGCGTCGTACCTTCAGTTTAATCGACATATCCAATACTTTCTCCGAATACTTCGAAGTCTCCTTCTCCTTCTCCTTCTCCTTCTCCTTCTCGTTCACGGCTTCGTTCGATCGATCTTCCGGTTGATTCCCATTCAAAACGCTCGCTCCTTGCGATTCATCCTTGTCGCCGCCCGACGATTCCTCTTCGTTCGAAGATCGCGTTGCACCATGAGTTTTTACGCCAGGAGCCCACTCAACGTTGCTTTGAATTACTCGCTGCCTCGGCACGGTTTTCACTCTCATTGTCGTTCACTGCGAACTCGAACACTGGTTGAACATACGTACATTCGTACGTCGACGTTGAATAAATAAAAAAAAAAAAAAAGGAGGAAGAAAGAGATTGATGTAACTCTCTCATTCACTACAGAATACGATACGATCTACGCGAAGTTACTACATACTTACGTACGGGAATGCTTCGACATATCGAATATCGAGCGATACTTTGTACAACAACAGAAAACATTACTCGCCTCGGTGAGTCCGCGCAAGTCGCTCGGACCAAGGTTCAATCGGTTTTATAAACGTTTAGAAACAGAGAAGAGGCGTGTACTTACGTGTCGAGAGAAGGCATCCGCGCAAAACACCGAAACACCAGGATTTTCCCTTTCTCGCGGATTCGATTGATTCGGATTCATTCACTCGAGATTGGAAGAGACGGCTCAACGCGCGGCACACATTTCACGACACAGTCGACGACGGTGACTGACTGCGAAGACACTGTGTTTAGTTGACCTCGCGCTGACTTTGATGGTTGACACAACAAAGGGCGCCTGGCGGAGTCGCCGCACGGAAATCCAAGTTTGCAAACACCGGGAATCCGAGCTGCTTATCCGTGCCGATTGCCATTAACAGCTCGTACTTTTCCTGTATCGGTGTTTGCTCGCGACTCTCTGTTCGACGTTAGGATTACGTACGTCGGCCGTGTCAACGCGCTGGAATCCTTTCGGGGAACAGTAGTTCTCCTCTCTATAAGAATACAACGGAGCTTCGACGAGATTTTCTCAATCGTACTTTCACTCGTCGACGTCCGTTTATATAAATATTCATCTCGCCCGTTCTCGATCGTTGTTCTTTGTAATTTCGAGATACAATTAGTCGCGAGAGAACGAATCGTGCCAAGAAACCGAAGAAACGAATAGAGGAAGATAAAAGAGAGGAATAGAGAATGCGAACGAAGCAACCGGTAAAGAGACAGATAGATAGACAGACAGACAGACAGACAGACGGACCGACAGTCAGTCAGAAAGTCAGACAGTCGGAGGGTGGAGAACGGACAAGGGCAAGAGGGTGGAGATGGGGGTCAAGCATAAAATTGGGAGGGGGGAGGGGGAGGGGAAAAAAAAGAGGAAGAGAGAAGGCTGGATGTTTGGTAGGATGTTTCGTGTCCCCTGCCCGCACGTCCCGGTCGTTAATACAGCATAAGGAGGAAGGCAGGGTTAAGCGAGGGTGAAGCGAGGATTTTTAATTGTAGTTCAGTCGGTATAACCCCGCTCGACCCGCCGGTATTGTCATACCGGGGCGGCGCTTTTCTTTATTTCCCCAGTGGCTGGATGAGGTTATACATTTTTTTTAACTACGGCAATGCCTCCGTCTTCTTATTAGCAAAGCTAATTGGAAATACAAATGGTTATTCACGGTAAGAAGGAAGCCTGAAGACCGGGCTGCCAGAGAGCCCAAGTACTAACCGATGCGACGGAGGGCTCCCGCGAACGAAAAAGAGAGAGAGAGAGAGGGGGGGGGGGTTAGGGGGAGGAAGAGAGGGTAAGAAGAGGACGAGGAAGCCTGGTACACTTCTCTCTCCGCGTATTAAGCTTGTATTTGCCCCGGATAATTAGGACTTTTTCCCGACCAATTCGGATGAATAATTGATTTTGCTTCGGCCTGCCCCCTCGGCGTGCCCTCTCCCTCCACCGCCCCTCCTGTCGCTTCTGCTACTTCTCTCGTCGAATGACAATCACCCGAAGAAAAATACAGATCTTTCGGATGAAATATTCAGCGGCCGCACCGCTGGCGCGCTGGTGGAACGGGCGAGAACGCGAGCAACCATTTACCACCTGGTCCATCGGTCGATCAAAATATTCGAGGTGACTGAATAATTTCTCGGAGAAATTCGTTCGCGCAAATTACGCCCGCTATCGCGCGCTAAAATGAGGGAGAATTGCAAATTAAACGGACCCGAATGTTGGCTCGTTACTTGAGTTTCTGTGTCGTTGCGACGACGACGACGACGACGATCGATTCGTTTATCAACGATTGCGACTTTGTTCGTTGGATCGAGGACGATTCGCGTGAGAGAAAAGAGAAAAACGTGGATTTCGCGGGACATTTTGTCCGGATAACGAAATATATCGGTTAAACGAAAGGGGAAAGGGGATTTGTTTGCGAAGATTCGCGGTGCGTTATGAAGCGGAACGAAGGTAGGGATAGTCGGTCAAGCAGCAATCTCGCGCAGGAGCCCTCCTTTCCGCCTGGCCGCGAAGATACGGCCCGTGGGGCCGCGCAACTTTTTTTCATCAGCATTTTACGGTTATACTCGCGCATTAATAATGCACATGCTTAATATAAAAAGAAGCCGGCGAGTCTCCGTCTAATAAACTGGAAGAATGCTTTATAACCGGCCGCGGTTTCGGGTCACGAGGAGGAGAGGGTGGCAGAGAGGAAACGAGAGAGAGAGAGAGTTTGCTGAAAGCCGGCTAAAGGAGGTGGCTTTCTTCTTTATGCTCGCGGAACGGCCAATCTCTCCAGGACGCGTCGAACGAAAGTGGCCCAACTTCTCCACCCGCCGACAGACAAATCGCCGCGCGACGAAAGCGTCCCTCGTTGCACAACTCCCCCTTCCCCTCGTTTCTTTTTCAATCCTATCGTCAGTGACAACTACGAGGAAATTATACTTTCACCTCGCGAAGAGACTTACTTGCTGCTCGAACGCATCGTATCGATGATCGATGCTAGACACGGAATAAAAATTGTTCGTAGTGTAACAATTATTACAGTTGAAACGCGTAAAATCACAACCCTCCCTTCGTTCTCTGGCGACACGGATACATTCTGCGAATAATGCTCGCGGTTATTAGAATTTTTTGAGTGGTGAAAACGGAAAGTGATTTTCATCGCTGGCGCGCGTAGATATATATACACATGTGTGTGTGTGTGTGTGTGTGTGTTTTTCTATCATTTTCCCGGCGAGATAAATTATTCATGACAAGACGGTCACCTCCGGTTATATCATCAGCGTGACGTTCGAATGTAAATCATTTTCTAGCCAGGCAATTTTCATATTCATCTTATCCTCGAGAGTCAAATGAATTTTTTTCGTTCTCCCCGGAGCTGATTTCCGTGCTGCGAGCGAGAGGAGGCCCGGCACCGTCGGATAGCGGAGGTGAGACTTTTTGAAAAATATGAGTTTAATAAAGAAGAAAGTATGATGTATAGCCGGCTGCCAAGGGAGAGAACTTACCGGGATCAACCGACTTCGATACCCAGATATTGTATGTGTAATATAAGCAGATGAAGGGAATTGCCGCGATCTACTGGGTGTTGAGATATTATTTCGAGCTACAAGTTCGACCGCGCTGCCTCTGAACGGTATTAAATCTTTCTCGTATCGCCGTAAGTGCAGTTAAAATTTGTTTCTTACTTCACTTACACGCCGGCAATAGAAAGACTGTTTACATTATGAATTCAGAATTGGTTCGAGAATCAATTCAATATAGAATCAGTCCCATTCGTGTCAACGGAGCTGTTCGTTCTATGAGAAAGATGACACGAACGATACACGATGTATCTTCGTCAAATCTGGAAGCGCAGCGCGATAAAATCAGGCAATGGGCGTCGAATATGTTCCAGATATTTCCCCCTTCGGAACGGCACGATCCGGGAGGAATTTCCATGGAAATCGATGACACCATCGAAGACAGTTTCAAAAGGAGAAGGGGGAAGGGGGGGGGGTGGTGAATAGATATCCGTAACTTATCCCGATAAGGGGTTGTAAAACGTTGTAGCTATCTGCCAATACGATTTGCTCCCTTTGCTTCCGTCGAAGGGAAGGCTGTGCATCCAGGTTGCGGCCAGATATAGAGGGAGCAATTCGGCAGAAATTGATGCCATTTGAATATCGCTCGCCTGCGACGCTCGCCTCCGGGATGATCCCGCCGCGTTTGTATCGCTTCCTCCCGATATTCCATCTGTTTGCGAAGAACACATCGCGGCACAGAATCGTCGACTCGTTGGCTCTTTGGAAAATCAACAACAGATAACGCAGCGATATTTCACACTGCCTCTCCTCCACCCGTTATTCCCTCTTTCCCTTCCCCTCGACTCCTTAAAGTCTCTCGTTCGTCTCGCGAGTGTTTCTTCATCTTCTTCTTCTCTCACTTCGGGGCCGGAGCATCGCTGCTTAATTCCACTTAACGCGGGCGAACGTTAATATAATTACGACAATTAGAGAAGTCGATGGAAGCGCGTGAAACGATGCATGCGCTTTGCAGCAGGAGGAGGAGGAGGAGGAGGAGGAGGAGGAGGAGGAAGAGGGTGAAGAGCGTCACGACGCGCTACGTGACGAGGTGGCATCACGTAGGCGCTATCTACGCCGTTGTTGTTTATCAAAAGCGCACCGGTTCGACTCGAAGTATGTACATAGTATGCGCTCAGTGCCCGTCAATGGCGTTTTCTTAGCTTATGCATAAAGCTCTTTCGCTGGCTCCGCCGCTGGTTCCCCGTCGTTCCTGCTGTCGGGCCTGCTCCTCCGTGTTCCCTGTCCCCTTCTCTGCCAGCTTCTCGTCTCTCACGATTTCAGCCCTCTCGCCCAACCCCACCCACCTTCCCTCCCCCCTCCGCCACCCTATTTCATCGAGGCTTCAACCCCTTCTTCGACTGGTAGCAGCCAGCGGAGCAGCACGCTGCGTCTCGCTCGCTCGCTCGCTCGCTCGCGAGAGTGTTTCCGCCAGGATGTATCGCAAAATCTATACCGTTGAGGGCGCGAGGAGGTGAGACGAAGGCACCGGCGAAAGGGAGGTTGGGCAGGGGGGTGGGAGGGGAGAGCAGCCGAGAGTCAGAGGATGAGACGGAAGAGTGGGCGATGTGGCGGAGGCCAGGGTGGTTTTCGAGAAGGGTGAGCCCCGTCACATTTCACTACAGACTAATAACTTCTGAATATTCATTTCGTGTTTCTCCTTGCCTGCTTGCGTACCCGTAAGCAAGGCTAATGCGACGCTCACAACGACGCGCCAGATTTTATCGGCCAGAGCAGCCGATACACGTCCCGTTCGCGTACGTTGCCACTTCGTCTTTCTCTTTGGCGAAAGAAATCATTGTTTCCACGAGAATTTGAATTTCAATGAGCGAACGACGACGGAAGAGTATCGCGAATTTTCCTCTTCTTTTTTTTCTTTGTTTTTTCTTCTTTTCCTTTCTTTTCCGCATCAGTCAAACGTTGAAACTGTCAGACTGGAGAGTTTGCATCAGTTCCACCGGCGAGTTCTGCTTTCCACGAATTTTAACGAATGATAGAAGCACGCTGAACGAGCATATAGAAAAGTATTACCTGATGAAAGAAAATGTAACTTCAAAGTACGACGTGTAATTAAAATATCCCTTTAGTTTCACGCTGCTTGTGTATCCGTTTGTTTTCGTATCTAACGAGAAGATTTGCGATCCGCCGTGTTGGTTAATCTGGCGCAAAGCTTGCTGAAACAGTGGGAGTCGTACGCTTTTAAAAATTCCGGTGTACCAGTGCGAAATTCGTCGTGCTCGCGGTATTTTGGCTGGAGATTTAAAAAGAAAAAGAAAAAGGAAGAATTCACGTTCGGAATCAACGTTCGAGAGAGAAAGAGAAAGA